TTGTTTTGTTTTTATTTTGCGAGTTGTTATTAGATGCTGCTCCAGCCAGCCAGAGAATCCGCCGCCGCCCCGCCCTCTCCTCCCTGTGTCCGCCCGTGTCGCCCGTATCAAAAACCGCTACTGGTCGTGCATTGTGTAGTATACGTGGGGTAACGACAAGCGATTAACACCTCACGACCAGCTCCCGATCATCAATCGCTTGGTCGCGACCATCGTGAGGCTGTCACCGCAGCTTCTCACACTGCGCACGCGCAAACACAAATGTCAGCGAAAAAGACGGCGCAGCACGTGCAGCGTGTGATCTGGACACAAGCAATGGAGGCACAACTTGTAGAACTTTGGAAAGCTCATCCGAGCCTTTTCAATGTGGCCTTACAAAATTGTAAAGACCACAACAACCGTGAAAATAGTTGGATGTACACTGCTGCTCAATCACAACTGCCTGATCATGTTTTTCATTAGCAATTTAGCAAAGTTGATGGTGGTGGTGTGCGTGTCTGTGTGAGTGAAAGACGGAGAGGGAGAGTGAGCGACAGAATTTCTGTTATAACCTTCATTTTACGGTGACCACTCAGGTCGCATCAGAGCATCGGTGTGTGAGACCCTGCATCGTGACCTATGAACTTCTAACCCCTGCGAGTCAATCGTGCAGTTTGAGCAGAAGCTGAATAACGCGACTGAAAAAATTGCACAGTGTATGCCCAGCTTTAGGTCCACCTCCTTTTAGTCAGTTTCTTCTGATTGGCTGACTTCTGGACAGCTGTAGAGGGGCAGCACAGTGTGCTTGTGAGCTAGTGAGTCTTTAGCAGTTTAACATACAAATAAGTTGATGACAGGCTGATGCCAGATACTGATAAAGATATAAACAACATTGGAAATCATGTATTACTTTAGACACGTTTTAAAGCTTATCCCATATTTAATATGAACATTCAATAGTGTAGCATAAAATAGCCAGTCATGGAAAAGATTGTAGTGTTTTGCTTATCAGGATGTAATAAAAGTCATCAGATCCTTAGCAGGTTCAAAAATGAGGCAACAACCCAAGAGCTACATGTCAGACTCTGTAGGCCTCTGTTATAGGTTGTTTGGAGAGGTTTTCAGGAAAACGCCTCTTCTCTCTAAAAAAAAAACATGCCAGCACAGTTTAGGTTTGCAAAGCTGCATCTGAGCAAGCCACAAAAGACAGATAAAGCTTGACCTTAACAGCACAGCAGAAAATCTACAACAGAATGAGTGAAAAAGAAAAGAATCAAAGTGCTGCAGTGGTCCAGTCCACGTCCAGACCTCAATCCAGTTAAAATACTGTGATGGGACCTTAAGAGAGCTGTGCATAAATGAACAACTGAAAATCTCAATGAAAATCTCAAGCGTGGACCAATACTCCTCCACCACAGTGTGAGAGACTGATAAAGCCCCACAGGAAATAATTTTGTCAAGTTGTTGCTGCTAACAGTGTTCAGTAGCTGCCAGCTACTGAACACTGGGGGGTTCTTAGTTTTTCAAGTATAAAGGTGCATTAAGCACCTCAAGGCCCTCAAAGTCCTCAAGTAGATGCAGCGAATCTGATACCACAGCCTCTCGTTGACATTTACACATTATTCACATGTGGATAACTGTAGTAAAATCATAAACTGCAAACAAAATGTCAGAATTAAGCTTCTGGTCATGTAACCAGTCAGTACCTTCTGGGTGCCACTCATTAACCTATGCAAATTGCAGGGTTTCCCAGGGCCTCCAGGATTTGATGGTGAGCCCGGTATACCAGGAAATCCAGGAGAACCGGGACCACCTGGGCATCCCTCGCACCCTGGGGTGAGCTGCTCTCCAACTTCTTTTAATTAGTTAATGCAAATTTCATAAGAAAAAAACCAAACAAATCAAATTTTCTCCATGAATGATTAATTTTGGATCAACCTCTTCCTGGTAGGGTAACCTGGTGACACAGATGGCTTCGGGTTTTAGCGAGAAGTCGGGTCCATCTGCAATGCTAACAGGATCCAGGGTGAGCACTTTTAAACTGCATATTTTACATATGCAAAGTCCGGAAGCTTGAAGAGTTTAAAATGCAGTGCATAATCGTTTGCCATTTCAGGGTGAAGCAGGACCACGAGGACTTCCAGGACCGTCTGGATCACCAGTGAGTCTTTATCTCTAATGAAGTTTTAGAGCCAAATATTAGTTTTACTTTGTAGGAAGTGGGCCTAAAAATGTGGCCTTTAATTTTCCTGCTCAGGGTCCTGCTGGTGGTCAAGGAATTCCTGGAGAAGCTGGAGATCCAGGATTGATGGTACAGTCGTTTCTTCATCTTGGATTAACTCTAATGCTGCTTTACATGTTAAAGAGTGAAATTTAAATGTGACTGTACGTGTGTGTCTGCAGGGGGAGCCGGGTCATCGAGGACCTGATGGGCCACCAGGAAAACCTGGACTTGATGTGAGTCATGTAACAGATACTGATGAGGATTCTCCTTTTATCTGTAATTATTCCATAACCACCTGATGGTCTTTTCCAGGGACAATCCGGACCTGCAGGAGCAACCGGAGAACCAGGATACCCAGGATCAGCGGTAACCAGTTGTCATGCCAAAAAATATTTAATCCTACTATTGTCATGATAATAGTGATACAATAACCTACTCTAATCTGAGAGACAGTGAGCGAAAACACAATCAGGAATGATGTGATTACTTTTAAATACAGGGTGCAAGAGGATTCCCAGGACTTCCAGGTAATCCAGGACTGAGAGGGCACAAAGTAAGTCCTTTTTCCTCATTATTACTCATTAGTTTTCATGTATGAAATATCAAGAACTAACCAGTCTGTGAATTTAAACCTCTACAACAGGGACACAGTGGACTTGTTGGACCAAGAGGCGAGGCTGGAGCAGCTGGAGCAAAGGTAGCTAACTCTCACTTTTGAGAGAATAGTAGGAATTATAGTTTAAGTCTGAAAGGAACAATATTCAGTGCAGTTGCTTTAAATTATCTAAAGAAAAATTATTTAATGGTTCGACGGTGTCCAAATACAAGCTTGTGAAGTTAGCTGGTGATTCCAGTGACTGTAAATGTCTATGTGCTTAAGCTTTAAACAGAGACACTTTTAGTTAGACAGCTACATCTCACTCACCTGAGAGATGAAACAGAGAGGCTAAAGTGGCCCTAATGTATGTAAATATATCAAATTCACTGAATCACACGGCACTCATTTGGCACTGGATTAGTGTTAAATGCCCAGATGTACACTTGTATGCATCTTCGTGCTATCAAGGTGGTAAAAAGATGTTGACCTGTTTAGATGAAATTACCATTGACCCATTGAAGCAAAGAGCACGTATGACCAATGTTCTGTTCTGTGAGGGAGGTTAAACTTTATCGAAGTCAGTTTTTCCAGTTAGGAAGCAGAAACCATCCTGAGCCATTGTGCAGCCTGATTGACGTTTGTCTCAGAACAGCAGGCCTGAACAGCAGACTGTTGGGACCTAGCATGAGGTCCCAACATCCTTTAGTGGGACCTAAGCATGTGGCATGAGGGTTATGTAACATCAATGGACTCTTTGACCTCATGCCAACCTCTTGAAGTCTGTTCCTGACACATTTTGTCAGAAACATCCACAAATAGCCCAATGTGGGTCATTTTGTGGGGCACATGTGATGCTCCTCCTGTTCCTCAGGAGTAGATATCTTTCCTCCTGCTCCATGCTCTGTCCTTCTACACCAAACTCTCCTCACTTGTGTAACGGCCCGTCTCTGGTACACACAGCAGTGTCAAGAACACACACAAAAAAGGCTAAACTAGAAAAAAAACAGTCAGTATGGATAAGGAGAACGCTAATCTATTTAATTTGTGTGAATTGTTGTTGCCTCTACTACAAGCAGCTGAACTGGAATTGCACTATTTTACATAACATTTTTATAACAAACACTTCATTGCATTTATCTCGTGTTTTAGTTTCAGAATGAGACAAAGAAAATGAGACACGGAAACCTGATCTTTGAAAACAGGATTTTTAAATTAACTCCAAAATCAAACTCCAAACAGAAATTTCATCACTTGTTTCCACGTTTGAAAGGTTGTTTCGGTCACATGTGCTGCACAATCTGTGCATAACTGCTCGGTGTCTATGATTTGCAGGGTGCTTCTGGTACTTCTGGTGCAATGGGAGCTCCTGGTCCAGTGGTAAGTTAAAAAACACAGTTAAAAAGAGAGAATATTAGTCTGCTGCAGAGATACTGACTCCATCTTTGGTTTCAGGGACCACCTGGGATGCAGGGAGAAAGAGGCCGAGTCGGAACGACCGGCTCTGTGGTATGAGACAAATAATTGAGCCACATGACAAGAAAAGGAAAAAAAATGCAAAGATATGTTTCCA